CAGATGAGATTCTGCCGAAACGTTGCTACAACTTTAAAAGCACAACTACAATGACGTGGGAAAATACCCGAACAAAGCTGAATGCCATACATACATACATACATACATACATACATACATATATATATATGCATGCTTTTGTTTACATATTACTCTGAGCATTACAAATACAGTAGAAAAAGTAACAATTACAAAGAAATATTACTAGACGTGTAGTTACTGGGATGACAAAGATGGACAAGTTTTGAATCAGAGAAGCATCTAAGTTGACTAACTGTGACTTCTACCTTTTAATTACAAGCTTTATTGTCCCACTTTCCAGCTTAATACTGATTAGTTATTTTTTAAAAAATTGAAAAAACTAAAAAAATTGTTTAATCATTTAATCAATTCATAATTTTAAAAGGCCTTAAGGTTACACTATTTGAGATGCAAAAATTGAGACAATCGCTCCAGACTGCAGCAAAAAGAGTTTTCTGTGTATCTTTATTGTCATTTAGTATTCAATTTGGATTTTTACAACCTACATATGGTACTGAAGTTCTACTTTAAGATAAATTGCAAATGAGGTCTCTTAGGGTTTGAAACAATTTGTTTTTCCTTATCCTGAAAAAACTTTCAAATTTTTAATTAGTGGTTACTATTAATTTATTTAACATGACCTTCCACAATTAAAAAGCTTTAAGACTGCTATAGAAATCATAGTTATGTTGGGAATGTTAGGAACTATAGTCACAGCACTAGTAGAGGCAACAGCCCACCAATTAAATGTGCTTACTTTGCATCTTCAAAGGTCTTAATAAGAAATAACCAGAATATATAATAACTCAAGCAATTAAAAACAAATAAAGTAGCAATAGCAGTTAGACTTATATACCACTTCATAGTGCTCTACAGCCCTCCCCCAACAATCTGGGTCCTCCTTTTACTGGCCTCGGAAGAATGGAAGGCTGAGTCAATTGAGTTGATGAGAATAGAACTGCTGGCAGGCAACATAATTAGGATGCAATAGTGCATTCTATGCAATAATAATAAAACTATATACAAATATTTTCTTGTCAAGGTAACTTTTGTGTATATTTTACCATGCAAGGCTCTTAAAAGCCAAACTCCAGATAAAATGCTGCTAGAGCTACTGAATGACCTTCATATTTTTTAAAATGAAAACAAATATATATCGACCAAGTTAGAAGCAAATCAGATATCCATTTCACCAACATATACTCATAATAACATTAGGATTTCAGATATTTCCAGATTTTAATATCTGCATAAAATGCAAACAGCATTAGCCTCCAAAGAGTCTAATGCACTGAGGGGAGAGCACAAAAGAAGTTAATTGGCTATCTCTCTATGAGAGACAATAGGAAAAAGACAAGCCAAACAAGATATCTAGAAGCTTCACACTGCAAAATAACATGGCAGTATTTCAGGGAATGGAAAAGATGACTCCTTGCTATTTACATATTAGGTGTACAGTAAATTAGTTAGACAAAGAAGCAACACATTGTACTGTAGTTAGAAGTAGTTCTAAAGAGGCTAAAATGCATAGTCATCTTCATTTTCAAATCCATAATTTATTTCTCTTAATCCAATGAGCTAATTTAAGCTTCAACTTTTGAAGAATATAATGTAAATCAATTAATCTATAGATTATTTTTTTGGAAATACCTTACATAGAAGCACTCCTGTAAAATCATAGATATTTAATTTCAAAGAGCAATGGCCTTTTTATTAGAATGTACAGGTTACAATCCAATCTTTGACAATGTAAGTGTTAGAATCTTAAATTTAAACAATATTAATTAGGTTTTTTAAGAAAGGTGACACAATCTAATAGGAATGTAAAAAGATATAGCAAACCCCATTGCTAGAAATACATAAACCATACCATAGTTGCCAAACATTAAAATAAAATGGCAAGGCATTAACTTTATGAAATTATGATTATCTTTCTTAAGATCATTGCAATCCTCAAGAGGCAATTCTCTGACAACATAAAATAAATAATTAATCTTGCTCCAGGATAAAAGCAACCCTTAGTTAGCACCTTCTGAGAAAAACATGGAAGTAAATGGAAGAAAACACTCAGTTCCCTAGGATATAAAATACAAGGCAGTTTCTGGCTAAGTTCCTGAGTAGAGCAAGCATACTAAAAACTGCCACAGAGAACAACACATCTTAAACTTTTTTTTTTGTTTCTGTTACTGGGTGATTCACAATCCTGCTAAGCTCTTAAAGCTTAAAAATAGTTTAGTAAACATACAACACTGAGTTTACTTTGGCAGTTCTCTTTCTGACTCATTTATGGGATGATTTAACACTATTGTACCCTGCTTTCTCTTCTTCACCATCTTCTGCTGCTCCTCGATAAAAGGATTTATTTAACTTGGTCAGACAACTTTTAAAAAAGGAAGGGAGAGGAGAAAGGGACTTTGAAACATGACCTACCCAAAAATGATTAAGAATTAAGCCTTAAGGACGCTCTATTGATCTACAGGCTTCCTGATGAGCATCAGGCTAACAATTCCATTTAAGAAGTGAACAGCCTTTGTTAAATAAACTTGTCTAGAAAAACAGTGAGATTAAGTTATATAACCATCCTGTCCAAATTCTATCATGATCTGTCACAATATACCACATGACAGCACATAAGACTTAGAAAAAAAATTAATACAAAAAAACCAAAGAAACACTGACAATATTTTGTAAATATTAAGTAGAAAGGGTGGAAAAAGCAACCTAAATTTGGAAAAGGGAGGTGGGAATCATTGTGCTTTTGTTCTCCCTCTTAACCTACATATCCACACAATCTTATCTAGGAGAAAAGGCTTAATTCCTGACACCTTCATCTACATATTTGGTAGTGCAAGAACCTGTTCTAACAATCTTAGGCTTGATTCTCTACAAATCTTGCCTCATTCGGTTTGGTCTGCAACTGCAAATATGTTGGAAAAATTTTATTGACACCAATGTCTTAGTATCACAAAACACCATGGTTATCAGCAGAAAGTTGGATAGCAGTGTGGAAGGGTCAATTTCTTACTTGAGTCCATAATCTGGCTTTATTGATAGAAGATTATAGAACCCTCATCCTTCTTTTCTATCCATTTCACAGCATTTGCCAGGCATTTACCTGCTACCAGCATTCATTAGATCTCATTTTCTAAACAATATTAGTGAGAATAAAGCAAGTTTACTTAACAGCTGCAGCCCCATAATGAACAGAGAAGTAATAAAATGTTCTCATTGTAGGTAGAATTTCTCACAATGACTGCACATGATGTTGAGTTGATATATAATTTCTAGCCATCTCTAATGCTTTGGATTCTTGCTTTGAACAAGCAGGAGCATAGACATAGCTCTTAAAGCAGCTGTACCTTTTTTGTGCGTGTGGCAGCTGTAAAGAAAAGCCATATGAACTGGAAAAGTTCCATAGCACAGTGCAATTTTAATTAATTCCAGTATAAAATGTTATGAATATTAGATTGAACATATTTAATGCTGATAACCTAAGTGCTTCTTTAAAAAGGAAAGACTTTGCTGATAATTACTTTATGATGTTATCACAACCTAGCATTTATTTGTTTGTTTACTGTTTATGAAGCATTTGTAGTTCTTCAATCAGAACTGATTCTAAGTGATAACGTTTGGAAAGAATTAAATTTATACATCAAATAATATTTAAGCAACCATATCAGAACTGACAGAGATGTTTTTCACTTCCTAAAGATGCTTACCTGCACTTTTTTTAAAGCTACTGGCACACCATCCAACAAGCATGTAGCTCTGTAGACTTCACTAAACTGTCCACGGCCAATCTTCTTTTCTATCCGAAAATTGGCTAAAGTATTGTAGCCCATGTCAGGTCGTAAGGCTTTCTGCAGGCCAAGAAACAAAAACAAACAAATAAACTTTCTTTTATCTCCAGTGGAGCCAGGTGTTCCGAATATTAACTCCAGAAAAATAAATGTGGGAGGGGATATATTCATGAAAAGGTAAACTTGCCTGTAGTGGCAGGAACAAGGAAATACTCTTTACTGGCAGCTATACTGATGTGGGTACTTGAAAAACACTAAGCAGTGTTTGTTCTGAGTTTGAAATGCTCACTTGAGAAATGGTAATATTATATACATACTTGAGATAATATATCTAATTTTAAATATGAATTCTAAGTATCAGTAATTTCCCACTTAAAGATCTACAATTCCAGCTATCTTTTTAAAATAGACAAACACGTCTATGTTGACAATGGAATGCTTACTACATACTTTTCAGGTTCAATTTAAGAAACTAGCTTTGGTCTTCACAGTCCTAAGAGCCAAGAATAATGGTTATGAGCAGGGAAAGGGAGTACAAGTTCCAAATCAACCATGGAGTTCACCAGATTGTCTCAAGTCAGTCTCTTTCAGCTCACAATTATGTTGCAAGGCTGCTTAAGTATTTCGTAAGAATGTAGTCGTTGTTAACCAATACAATAAGGTGCCATATGAAATGGTAAGTTCTTGTTAATTGGAGATCTTTAAACTAAAGCTATGCTATCATGTTTTAAAAACTGTTCTAGTGGTTCTTGCACTACACAGGGGGTTTGATTAGATGCCACTGAAATCCTTTCCAACTTTATGATTTGATGAAAATGTGTTTTGTTACACATTACACTTAAGGACAACATGGAAGGTAAAGGTGCCTCTTGATCTTTTCAGTTACCATTCCTTGCTATTTGCCATGTTGGGTGGGCTTAATGGAAACTGAACTAAATAACTGAGGATGCCAGACATGTGTCTGGCTTGGAGATTAGATAGATGGATGGATGGATGGATGGATGGATGGATGGATGTTCGTCTATTGGTCAGTTTAATATTGTTTATACAGGTCTTACATTCAGAAGACAAGTTTCTTTTGGGCTACAGCAGATGAAGAAAAAAATATGAAGGAGAGATAAAAACCAGCATAGTGTTTCATTACTCGAGAGAAAAAACTAAAAGTTTAACTCATAACTGATACAAATACATGGAATATGTACTGAACCACAATCAGAACCTGTGTGAAAACATTACGAAAGAGATCAATTTAGTAACCCCTACTGTACTGCTTTAAACAAAATCAAGAAGATAAGCACAATATTAGACTCTAGTTTTCCTCCGCTTCTATTCTTGATGTTCTTTTACAATTTACTATTTAAAAAGACACACACTTGATTAATACACAGCTGACATTTTATATATATACAAGTAAGATAATACTCCAGACCAGCGGTCGCCAACCGGTGGGCCATGAGGAAATTTTGGTGGGCTGCAGAGAAATCTCACCCCCAGAGCACCCCCCCCCCAAAGCAATTAATCCAGGCTACGTAGAAACACAAGGCTGCTCAGCCCACATGGCCCGCGGGAACCCTCCCCACCCACTCACTCCTTACCCAACAAACTTGTCTGCTAAGTTGCTATTTTTCCTTTTTCCAACCATCATCTGTTCTGCTCTGCCGGGAGATTTAGATTAGCTAGGAAGCAGGAAATGGTTGGATTTCTTGCTTTCTAGCTAAGAACAGCCGAACCTCCCTTAGGACTGAAGGTTTGCTTGCAAGCAAATTCAGAGCAGACTCACGGCAAGCAAATTTGAGAGACTGAGCTAGCCGATGGCAGATATGAATGATTCTGTGAGCAACTCAATCTACTTGCTTTGCCTGATTTTGGATAAAAGTTGCTTTTTTTAATAAAAAATTCAATATTTACATACATGGTGTGTTGTGAGTTAATTTTGTGAGTTTGCTTGCTAGCAAATTTTATGA